GAATTCACAGTATATCCACAGTAATGCTCAACTTAAAAAGTAGTTATGATGCTGAGTGGCTTTTTTGCTCATTGATGCTACTTCCAGTGAATATGGCGGCAGTAAAATTCTATTTAATATAACCTCAGTCTGAGACGTGCATTTAAAACGTTATTATGTTCTATTAAGTACATGAACTTCTTGAACGCTTTGTCCAAAGGGTGACGAGTGTGAAGGTACACGTAACATATAGTTCTAAATGTGGTTCACATCGCGTGATTTATTGTGAATGATAATGCAGGTGATACTCCCCTTATACACGCAGCGAGGCAGGGTCACACCTCCTTTTCTTTGTATTTGCTTGAACATGGTGCAGACGCTTGCGCCACTCCTAGTGAAAACCAGCCAAGCGTACTTCATCATGCTGCTGGCACAGGTCTGTTTCTGCCCTTGCAGTATGTTCTAGAGGAAAACAAAATATTTTATTTTATTTTCCTGGCATGAAAGTTTTAATTGCTTAGTCAGAGAACTTGCTTTTATAGAATTTCTCTGGTTCATCCTTGTTGCATGCCCACAAACTTGTTTAGCGTGTCACTATGTTTCGTAGGTTCTATGGAATTGATCAAGGCCTTGGTTGCAAAGGAGTTGATGTCGATTCCCCAAGTGACGCCGGTTCTCCTCTCATCTGGGCCGCAGGCCATGATCATCCTAAAGCAGTCAAAGTCCTCCTTGAAAGTGGTGCTAATGTAAAGCTCTCGAGGTCACACAAGTGATGTGTCTATTTTGAATCTTTAATAAGGGTCCTCACAGTTTCAGCTATAATCTTCATGTGATTGTCAAGTTTTACTTCTGTGCTTTAATTCGCTCAAAACTTCACTGAACCAGAGAGCTTGTTATTGCTGCTTATTATGCCATAGCTCAGATATTGCAAAATGTGGGGTTAGAGTTTCTCGAAGTGCCTACTTGTTTTCAAACTAATGATCTGGTTCACGTTGCTCTATTGAAAATAACATGATTTTATTGTTCAATTTGAAGCCCAATGCAGCTACAGATGATGATGTGACCGCTCTGGTGACAGCAGCTGCCGCAGGAATAACTGAGAGTGTGGAGCTCTTGCTAAAGGTACTTGAATTGATTCACGTTAAAAGCCTCCACTTTGTCCATGCAACAATAGCACCATACTAGTTTTGTGAGAGGAGCTGTTCACTGGGTGGTACTGTAATACTGCGGGTACGGTGTAATAATAATTCTAATACTCAGATGCATCGTATCGCACCTACGCGAATGTTCATATTCTGCAGAATGGAGCAAATATTAATGCAAGTGCCATGGGAGGAGTTACTCCACTTCATGTTGCCGCAGACCACGGTAACGAGCGAATGGTGGATTGTCTTCTTGCTGCTGGAGCGAATCCCGATGCTGTCGATGATGTGTGTAACACTGGCTTCAATTTTTAAAACAAAAATCTACAAACATGTTCCTCATCTTGTATTTCTGCTCCCTGTATTGAGTTTTTCCTTAAGAACCTGATAAGGTTGGTGAAGATTATGCTCTATGAATTATCGGTGGGTATTTGGCTTGATACGTATTAAGCTTACCGGTTGCATATTGAATAGAGTGGGAGAAGTTTTGATACAGGACAAGGCAAAGCCCATATTCGCTGCAAAAGAGTCTCGATCCGTAGTGGAAAAATTGTTGCCTATTACAACGCTTGATCCCGCCATCAAGGATTGGACTGTTGACGGTGTCCTGTCTCATGCACAGAAACTAGCTGCTGAGGAAGAGGTACGTCACTGCCCGGGATAAACATGACTTTTTTCAGGTTTCCAGAACTCTGTATTGCAGCCTAGAAGTCCAAATATGGATTCTTCACTATGTAAATCTGCTTACATTCTTACTCGGTGTTGGCGTATTTTACTTCTTCTCTCATCAGGCTGAATACCGAAGATTAAAAGAGGCTGATGAAAAAGCCAAAACCGCCCAGGCTAATGGACGTATGAAAATTGAGGTATGATTTTGCCTGTAGTTGCGGATGTTTGAACCGGATAACACTGAACTCTCACATCTCTTGCATTTGTATTTGACTACGACCTATTGCTATCATTAGAATCCTTTTGTAAGTATACTTCATGTTATTGTTCCTTGGCTGTGAGTGTTGTGAGATACCAAGCAATCTTGGATCCGAATAAGTTCATGTGGTCATTTATGTACCATTTTCACAGTTTCAGAACCTTCGACTAGTCGCTTTTAATGAGCCAATGGCTTGCTTCTTTATTGAGTGTATTAATCTTACACAGGTCTCAGCTGAGATGAAGAAGAAAGCTGCAGAAGCAAAAGCTCGAGGTGATGAAGCTTTCAAGAAGCAGGATTTCATGCTTGCTGTTGATGCGTACACTCAGGTCTGTTTCACTGCTTTTAATATTTTTTTAATTCTTGCTTTCTGCGTGATAACATATTTTCAGGTGTAGTTATCTACGTTTCGACTGTTGAATTGTCACTAGACAGTGGTTTCCTCAATGTCATGGGGAAAGTTTATGGCGTGACGCAGGCAAGGCACTTCGATCCAACAAATGCCGTATCTTTGTCGAATCGTAGCGTGTGTTGGATTCGTTCAGGGCAGCCCGAACAGGCTTTGGCTGATGCCAAAGTAGCTAGAGCTTTGGACCCAGAGTGGTCCAAACCTTGCTTTCGTGAAGGATCTGCGTTGCTACTACTTCAGGTTCGTTTATTTTTTATTTTTATTTATTTATTTTTTTCCTTCTTTACAGCACTTATAAATATGCACTTGCAATGTCGGAAAATACCTGTTACTTTTATGCTGTGGTTTCCAACAACAGTCGTTTCACATGTTTGATTTGGTTCACTCAACCTTCTTGCATGGCTTGATAATGTAGATTTTAGGTTTTTGTGCGGTGAAGGTGACAGTCAGTGTACGCATGTTCTGGTGCAGAGATTTGATGAGGCTGCAGATGCCTTCTATTGTGGTGTAAACTTGATCCCAGCAATAAGGAGATGATTGAAGCTTTTAAGTAAGTTGAAGACTCATGCAGATCCTCATTTGTTGAATGCACTTTTTTATTTCTGGTATTATTTCATGATGTCTTCCTTTACTGGTTCTTTTTATGAGGGTTATTAATAATTGACTGTTACTTCTTTACACTTCTATCTTTAGTTGAGGAGCTATTTTTTGCTGGGTTTGCTCTAAAAATCATCCCTTTCTCGTTATCAGTAGCTGATCCCTCATTCGGTCATTAGCTATAGTCTGCTGAATTTTTTCTACTGCTTAAACAAAATACATTCTAATGCTTGCAGGGGTGCTGTAGAAGCTGGCAAGAAGTTCCATGGAACGGCATAAATGAAGTATATCATCATTTCTTTGTAGCTTAAGGTTTTCGCTTGTAAGGTTGGTAATTGCCTAACGTGTAATATCTACCTCATGATCAGCTATCAACTATAAAATGTAGCCAGCATTTGAACTTGTGGGTTACTCGATGACTGTTCAGGAGTTTATTCTTGTTGCAATGTTTGTGAATAAAAAAAAAATATGAAAAGGGCACTTAATGTACTAGCAGTGAAAATGTTTGTCAGAGTTGTAAAGTTCCCACAGTGGGCATCAAAACTTGCAACAGGCCATTGCATAACATTTCTATCAAACCCTATTTTAGTTTAGCTACTAAATTGTTACCTATTTTCAAAAACGGTATTCTTAGACCTTTCATATTAACATTTTTAAATCAACACATCTTATAAAGTAGGTCAAAAGTCACAACTTTTTCATTTTGTGATTAGCTGAAATTGAGCAGTTTTACTTAGTTGACTTTATTCTTAAGGGGATTATTCCAATAATTCTAAAAGGAAAAGATGAGATGGAATGCATTTTTTCCTACCTAGAAAAATTAGTGTTGTCTCCTAGAATTTGTGGTAGGTCCACTTCAAGGATATTTACATGTGAAAGCCCACTTTGAAAAGTCAGGACACAAAAGCCTTACAAGGTTTCTATTTAGTGAAAAGAATCTCTCTTTTGGAAGTGTTAGCTCTTGGATAGAGTATAAATTAAGAAAAAGCCACAAAATAAACCAGATCATTCATTATTGTAGGCCAAAATATATTAACTTATACCTTGGTTTTAATAATTATGACAATTTTTTTAATAGTTATTTTTTGTAAATTTGTAATAATTTATTTTATTCTATAGAACCTTTTAGTTGATTTTTCTTGCTATGAAGCAACTAAATGACACCTCTTAATTTTAATCAATTAAAGGATTTAAAAATTATTGCATCTCACTTTCTTTTTTAAGTAAAAAGACCTCAAAGAGATGATTTTTACAAAAATACAAGATTTTATGTAAAATTATTGTTAATTTTTATTATTATTGTCATAATTGTCATAACAAAGATATAAACTAAAGTATTAATATCAAATGAGATTTTGTTTTGTTTTGTTTTGTTTTTTTATTTTTTATTTTATTATGCAGAAGCTCTTTGTAAGACTTTTGTACTATAGGTTTTCAAAGTGGGCTTTTAGGCATAAAGAACCTTAAAGTGGACTTATCACAAATTTAAGAGAAAAAACTAATCATGCTATGTAAGAAAAAATACATTCTATTTTTTATGCTAAATATCAAATTTAAAAATATTTTTATTTATTTATTATGACCTTTGATAGTTTTTGAAGCATATATGAATATAAAAATAATTATTGTATATTTATATAGGTGTAAATATGAACATTATTAAAAAGACTAATTTATAATAAAAAAGATTAAATGTGCAAAGATACAGCCATTATTTGCATTGTATATATACATATATATAAATATAGACTAGTGTGTGTAAAATAGAGTAATTTTTTAGAGAGTTAAAAAACTCAGAGGTTAATCACAAGTCTTGTGTTTTTCCAAGTGCATGTTTTCATGATTATAATATTTTGTTTATTCCATTTCGAAGGACACCTTAGAATATTACGCAGCAAGGAATTTGAGGATCCAAGTAAATTTCAAAACCCTCCCCTCCCCCCTGTTTCAATAGTCAATGAATGTGCACAATTTTGTTACAAGATGGAATTAGAATACACCAGGAGAAACGATCAACTGCCACCAGAGCTAAAAAAAATTGTGTCTCCGACAACACAGTTGAATTCTCAACTACCAAAACCTCACAACTTAGCTGCCACGTTTCAAATGAGATCACTCGACCTGATTGAAGCATCACCGCTTCACAAGCATACAGAAACAGCCGCCGTAACAACAAAGATCTGATAACAGAACCTGATATACTGGGTCCGATCTTTCTACAAGATATCGATCCGCTAACTGCACCAGAGCCAAACTCAAAGCACGAGAATTGACGAGAAATCTGATCAGTAATATTCATCAAGTTTCGCTTGTAAGTGGCTGGTGGATTGATCAGAAGAAGCAGGGATATGTTTATGGGCTGGACTGATCCGGGCTCAGGGAGTTGCAGAGTGTGCTGGAGCATGGACCAGCTGCAGATTTGGAGTGATTTGGCACCTCATGGTTGTCTGGGAGAGAATTGGGTATGGGGGGTGGTGGTGTGGACTTGCAGAGGCGGTACATCTGCAGCAGCAACTGCATCGTTGTGAGCCACTCGACGCCGGAGCTCGGAGCCAGGAGTGGAGGGTGGGACTCCCTGCTGTTGCTCTTTGGAGTTGTCGATCTGCAGCCCTATAGCATCGACTCTTGCCAACTTACGTCTTCCCGAGCTCGACTTCCGTTGCATTCAGCGGTCCCACACGTTCTGGAACGTCGTCGAGGGTGGTGAGCTGATCGCTGGTTGAGAGGAGGATGCCACGCCGATCTTCCATGAATGTGAACTGGTTGCTGTTCTATCTTCAGGGCTTAATGAGCCTTCTTCCATGATCACCGACATCGGTGAGGATAAGTCCCCACCAGATCCACCAGATAGCGAGTCCTCGCGGATGCTTCGAATCCGTTCTTCCACAACAGTAAGCTTGCTGCGACTCCGGCTGCCGGAGCTGGTGTTGGACCTTTCGGATCCGTCGCTGGAAACTCCATGAGAACCCAGTTTGAGTCTTTTTTTGGCGTCCTTGTGCCAGACGTGGAGGACTCGGTTCACTCGAATTGGTACCACAGCCTTCTTAAAATGGGTGCCCATCTGCTCAGTTGCCACTAGATTTCAATCAGCAGAGATCATGGGGAGCAATCAATGCTTCTAGGTAAAGACCCGGTCGTTGCACTCACTAGCGAAATGATAAGCGAAATTCCTAGTTCTCATGAATTCAATCATGGTTTTAGGGTTTAGGGTTGGTGGCTAACCTGAGACACAAGAGCATACAGTGGCAATGTGCTGAAGCTACAAGCAAGCTGCACAATCAACCTGTACAGCAATTGGCAGCATCAGTATTGAAAGCAAACCACCATGTCTTTTTAAGGTCGTTGAGTTTTAGTTAATATTCTTTTGAACTCTAGTGTGTTGTACCTAGGAGATCAACTAATGTCTAAAAGAGCACATTGATGAATGCCTACCCGATTGCAAGGCGCACATACACGAACCACTTGTCCTGCTCCAAAAGACAGGAGTGAAAACCGAATTGCGTCTGCAAGTATCAGACGAGGAAATTAATACTTTAGAAGTTTTCTCGATACACTCTTCTTTGTGAGATGCTTGTGAAACTTAGAGAGGTTTGTAGATGCGAGGATTGGGTGTACGATTGTTGGAATTAGTTTAAGGAACGTACCACATGCCAGACGAATGTTGCCAACTCATAAGCATTCTGCAAGTCACAGGCGATTGAGGGTTAAGGGATGTGATGGGGAAACCTAAAAATGCGAATCTAGAATGTGCATTCGCTAATGATGATGTGCAACTGGTTCCTCAAAGTGTAAACGTACTTGAAAGAGAACCAGGTGGATGACATGGAGTAGGAGCTTCGGTCGATTAAACCAAAATAATTGATCACGAGGTTTGAGCAATGCACCGACAAAATGCCCTGGCACAGCCCCATTAGGGGAAGTCTCCAATGCTAGGGTTGCAACGATGTGTTGCAGCTTCATGCCTATAGCCAGAACCACCTGCCCATCACAAAGTTTTAAATTCAGTCTATAAAGCTCTAAAGAGAACCTCACAGGAAAGCAAAAAAAATTTCAACGAAAATTTTACAGCAAAAATAAAAAGAACTTCTCACTCACCACAACAGGAACAAACGATGCCCAGAAATATAGTGTTACGCCTGCGAGCGAAGGACACATAAGGTAGAATTTAGCTACTATTCACTATCCCGGACACCTATCAATCATTCTAGGGTAACTTGCAGCCGCAGGAATGGGTTTCAAGTAGTTGAAGCATTTGGTTTTGTGTGGTACCGTCAACGTTGACAAGCAAGAAAGCAATAACAGACGCCCACAGCCAAGCACTGCAGCAAAAACCATGCAAGCCAGACCAATATTAGACCAAGATCCAGTTGTCCTTATTAATCCACATTCCTTTTTTGTGAAAGATAAGCTCAATTGAATCAGACCTATTTGCAACACATTTTGTCGTGTACAATAAGTACAGAGTAAGGAGAAACTTTACCTTATTCCCACAATAGTTTCAAACTCATTCTCCATGCTCCGAATCATGTAACTATGAAAATTGTACTTGTATGGCAGGTTGTGTGTCTGTGAATGCGCATCACCAAGGCAAATATCAATATCATTGAGAAGGAGTATTCAAATTTCAAATTAACAGCGTCGCTCACAAACATTCCTACTACGATTAAACAACTGCAGTCTACTCACAGTGATGAAGCTTAAGCGGAGCGTGAGGTAGTCAGAGCGAGGAATGTGAAATTGTTGGAAAAAGCAGACCACCCATACAATTAATCTGGATTTACTCCATGGCTTAGATGTATGGTACTTGATAAATGTTTACTGTCTAGTGTAGCTAACGTTGTCTGAAACAAATTCTGCAGTCAGGATCATGAAATTTAAGTATCGCTTGTTGTATCGCAGTCTACAAAACGAAAACTTGGGAAATCAGTGCAGCAGTTGTCTACTCTGCAATGTGGGTTTGGAGTATCATGATCTGCACCTGCGATGTCTTCGGGAGACGTTGACTCCAGAGCTTGCTTTTCCCATTTTTTCCAGCTGTAAACCTGAAATATTGAGATTCCGGAAAAATCATATTTGTGAGTAAAGGTTAAATGATGAGTGAGGCTAAGGATCATCGACAATGGGGCATGATGCAAGTACAAGGTATGTTGGCCTCATTGTTACCTTGGAAAGAGCAAGAGCCATAGTAAGACGTGAGTAAACGACATGAACTCCCGCGAGAACAAAGATGAAGATATGAAGTTGATGAAGGCTATGTTTAGAGACGAATGGCTCGAAGTCCTGGGACAGACACCAGTTCAGATCGATCAACTACGAGATTCAACTCATTAAAGAGATGATGCTTTATAAAGCATTGTACTGCTATTGAGGCAAAGAGGTATAGTGTATTGCATACCGCGGGACAGTGAAAGCTATCACTTGTTTCGGAGGCCAAGAGCCTTCTCCCGTGGCCATGGTGTCCTAATGCGGAGGACGCGAAATCTGACGGTTTGGGCCATTGAACAAATTTTTTTGACCCCTCATGTGTATCATGGCTGTCCATTGGAACCTTGCAAGGAGTCCATTTATTGAACAAGGCAGACCGGATACAAATTTTTGAAACGGGGTTTTCCAAGACGGTCAGGGTCAAGGAAATGAATCCCACCAGCATAAGCTCTGCGATGGCCAAAATTCAATTCCAGCATTGCAGACTATTGTCAGTTGCTACAGTTCCATCACGTATCAATGATACTGTGAAGTCGATGAAAAGAAAGAGGACACTAGCTCGTCGAAGTAACTACTGATACTTTAGACGCAAAATATCAATGCTGTAGAGATCCATCATTACTTACCATCTTTAATCTTTTGCAGTGCTTCAAACAGTGGCTTTCGCTTGGTTTTAAGCAAGTACTGCAACGAGAATAATCACCCACATTTCTTAGTCTAACAATAACACGAAATGGTGTTCACAAGAAAGCGGAACCAAATATGCCCGTGCATGCTTGGTTTGTGGTGAGAAGCTTGACAGCCGGAAATTTACAGGCTCCACAATTCAAAACTAGGGCATGGTTCCTACCTGGCGTGTTCACCATGAGTTCATGCAAAATGAGTGCTACCCACAAGATAGTGTGAGACTTACGTGACCAAATTGGTGCAACGTACGTTAGACGACGAAGCCGATGACGACGAACATGCTGCTAACGACAGCCAGAGCCCATGTGGGAGTGAACTCCAGTGACCTCTCGTCTTCATCCGCAGCGTCACCGGCCATGTTGAATAATCAGCCTAGGAAATTCCTCGTCACCTCAGACCACCTCTCCAGCTCCTCAATCCAACCTACACACTCTCGTGCTCAGATGACCAGCTGAAGGAACCACTAACCACAACAACAGATTCAGTAAACCAAGACTGCAGGTTGCACTGTCGCATCGTTGCGACCTTGCCCTAAACACCAGTTTCTCGCCAACTACGATCAAGATCTCACAAGAACCTCTCTCGGCACTTCCTTCGCCGTTTCGTCACCAGCTGACACTCCAGTGCAAGTCTCAAGTCAGAACACAACAGCGCCAGTTCCGCTTCCCGAAATCCCACAGTGCAGTCGAACGACAATAAACACACTCAGCTAGAAGCTTTGTATATGATGCCACTTGTGATGAAGCCAGTCTTCTCCATAACATCTCCCGAGCTGGGGCAGTCAATGCAACTAGCGTGTGTCGCAGACTAGTGACGAGCGATGCAAATTCTCACTGTGTCAGATGTCGATGCGCGAGGCGGGCGGGCCGGGATACAGCCATCGGGAGCGTGGACTGACAGACGCTGACCAGGTCGCCACTATGTTGCTCTACTCCTACGGACCAATCTAAAAACCACGCTGCCGTTTCCTACCAGTCCTAGCTCTGATCCGCCGCTGGCTATGCGCTCCGATCCCCATACACTCTGACCCGATCCCACCCATTCGTCGATGTTGGTCACCGAGCATCACGTCCGTCGACGTCATTAACAGACATTCCGACAGAGTATTTCGTTGATGGACATTCCGTCGGTGATTACGTTGTCGGACATTCCGTCGGTGATTACGTTGTCGGACATTCCGACCGTGTATTTCGTTGTTGGACATTCCGTCGGTGGATTACGTTGTCGGACATTCCGTCGGTGGATTACGTTGTCGGACATTCCGTCGGTGGATTACGTTGTCGGACATTCCGTCCGTGTATTTCGTTATTGGACATTCCGTCGGTAGATTACGTTTACGGGTGTTCCATCTGTTGTATTTAAATTTAAAAATTGTTTTAACCTGATAAAATTTTGTGAGACTCAAAACATTGTTTGAATATTAGAAAATGGGGTTCAAAATCTTTTGCCCATGTTACTGTCTGAACTTGAAATGCAATTGGGTGAATTTATTGGTATTTGGTTAAGTTTTCAAGTTAAATTATTTTTAACATCTGTGTTCAAATAATATTGATCAAGTATTTCAAAATAAATTGAATCTTCACGTGCACTTATATATACAAATGAATATTCAAAGTCATAAAATTTGGCTACATAGTAAATAGATACACATGTGCAAGTATAGTGTTGTATTGATATGTTTTCAATATCATTACTTTTGTCAATGCACAACCTTTGTTTTTTTTTTTGTCTAAATGACTTTTTTAGAATTCTAAATCATATTATTTTAGCACATAAAAATAGAATATCATTATAAGAACATACAAAAAGACAAGATATGAATTATGAAAATTAAAAAAATTAGTATAGTAATAGAATAGAGTCAATAATATTTAAAGTAGTCACTTCACCATTGAAATAGGATTTGTTATAGACATCTAATAAGAAGTTTTTAAAAACATTCATAGAATATTTTAAAAGATTTTAAAAATATTTTAAAAATATTCTTAGAATATTCTAAAAGATTCTAAAAATATTATAAAATATTCTAGCAAATTCTAAAAAAATTTAAGAAATTTAAGAAAGTTATCCAAAGAGGATCTTAAAATTGCTTCGTCTCCAAGCAATATAAAAACTTCTTAAGAAGCTTCTTAATACCTTGTATACATTGGAGTCAAGGCAGAGGAGATCCTCAATTTTAACAACATGTCTCTTAGAACTCTAGCTCACTTCTCTTGGTATTGATTTTATACTCGTCTAGTTTAATCAAATTCATACTAACTTTCTTATTGATATTCTTCTATTCAACTTCTTGTTTGGTCTTTTATATAATGTATCCATGACAATTTGTTGAGATTGCTCTTTTATCAATAATAGAGCTTGATTCTTCTTAATAGAAAGTAGATTATTCCTCTTTTTGAAGGCATTTAAGTACTTTAGAGATTGCAAATTATCCTCTTTTAAATTGATATTGTTTATTTTTATTTTATTTTCTTTCAAGATGGTTGAAAAAAAAGATTTTAGTATGAGTAAATCTATTGAATCTAAGTTAGATGCTATCATGAATTCATTGAATGCTTTATCTTATAGAATTGCTTAAATTGAAGATTTTTTTGAAAGATTTTATAGTGATATAAGACATAGAGAAATTTAACATATGATGCATTGACTTCCTTAAGCTTCTATATCTAAAGAAGAAATGGCATTTATACTTCAAGGAAAAAATTTACTTATTCAATAATATAAGGAGTCTTGAATTGGTCTTTCAGAAAAGTTTGATGGTACATGCTCCAAGTTTTAAGGATTTTTTAATTAAATTTGATTGGTAACTTTTTCACTACTTGAGCACTATCCAATAAAGGAGTCACAAGTTGGTTTAGTTAGAACCTTGTTCACATGACAAGCCTTATCTTGGTTTGCTTTGTTATTTGAAAAAAAATCTCCAATCTTGAGTAACTTTGAAGCTTTTTTAGAAGCATTTGTGGTGTTGTATTATATAAATTCTTACTTGAGAATGCACCAAGTACCTAGCTATGAAAGATAAATAGAAATACAACAACAATTCCACCAAGTCCAATAGAATTTTAAATAATCTTCAAGAAATCTTTAATAATTTCATCATACTTTAATCAATAAAAATAAATTCAAAAGAAGTCACAAAAGAAACACAAAAAAATTATAATTTAACTTCAAAAAAAGATGTTAATTATTTTTTAAAAAATATAAAAATAAAACCTTAAAGAAATGATAATAATCTTAAAAAAAATTACAAATAGAAATTTTATAAAGAAATTGTTAAGAATCTTAAAAAATATTAAAGTAAAAATTCTAAATAAATCTTAAATAAATATCAACCAATCTTAGCTTAATCCTAATCAAAATTCTAATGAATCTTAACCAAATTCAAGATCAAATTCTAAGTTGAACCATAATTGAAATTCTTTTAAATCTTAATTAAATCCTAAATGAAATCCTAATAAAATCCTCATAAAATCCTTAATCCTAGAAAAATCTTAAACAAATCCTAAACCATAATTTTAGACTAAATCCTAATGAAATCCAAAATCCTAAATAATTCCAATAAAATCTCAAGTAAATTTTAATTAATTACTATATCTATTTGAAACCTTAATGAATATTAATTTAATTATAGATCTTGACTAAAAATTTTATCCAAACTTCAATCAATAAGAAATTAATAAGCACAAAAAGTTTGAAAAGAATTGGACTTATTAATTATAAGAAAAGTTTTCAAAGCATCTCTATCATTGATTGCCCTCTTTTTCCAATTCAAATGTTGATCTTTCAACACCATTTTTTTTTTTTGAACCATTCAATTGCTTCAAAAATTGGATCATGAATAGACATTTAAGTCTTAAGTAAGTTCTCTAAATTTTGCTTCAATTCAACTAGCAAATATTGCTAGATCTCAAAATCACTTATTGACCTTAAATCTCAAATTTTCAAGACTATAATCTGCAAAAATACTCATATGCTTTAATTTAATCACTCAATTGTCACTCATATGCTTCAGTCTTATCATTCAATTGACACTCATATGCTTCAATCTAATTATTCAATTGACACTCATATGCTTCAATCTAATCACTCAATTGACTTTCATATGCTTCAATCTAATCATTCAATTAAATCTCTATTTACTTTAATCTATTATCAATTTTTTCTTAAATATGCTTATATTAATTTTTTTATCTTATTTATTTTGATTTGGCTCATTTATACCTTTGTAAAGTAAATAGAAGTTTCTTTTATAAAAAAAAGTATTAAAATAATTTTTTTATTATTTTTTTATTACATCTTTCTATTAGGTTCTTCTGTAATAACATCCATTTTTAAATTTTTTTTACCATATAATCATATTACCATATGATATTTGAAATATATGATAAGGTTTGATGGATGGCAATAAAGATTCACTCATTATGTCAAGTATCATGTTTTGTTTTAGTTTATGCATCTAATTTTAGATAATTAGCTTGTGACATCAATTGGAATAAATAAGCTCTTATGAGCCTATTCTATTGAAAAATATAGGTTTTATTTTAAGAAATTCTATAGAAAATTCAACATCATAAAACCTCTAATTTATAAATAGATTATATCTTTTCAACTACGAAAGTCTTAAAATGATAGGATTAAATAAGATTTTAATAATATTGAATATTATTTTGCTACTATGGCTTTTAAATGCTAATTTTAATAGTAAGATTTCATGAATAACATTTCCTGAAGATAAAGGTTGATGATGTATTATTTCTATGTGTATAAATTTTGATTTCTTGTCATAGATATATATATCTATTTTAATTCTTACTTAGGTAATATAAATAGATATAAGTAGATAAAAATAGATTAATTTTATAATATCTTTTAGAAAAACTTTTTAGAAACTTCTTAAATGTTTTTTTGACTTTATATATATTTGTAGTTGATTAACAGGTTAGAAACTTGGTCAACAAACTAACCACGTGCCACATGTATTGATAGCTTATAGAACAAGGTAACTATGTGGCACTCATATAAAAAACTTTCCTTACAACCTAAGATATATATCATCTAAAGTCAATAAATTTTTGGAGGTCTTATAGAATGTCGCCACATAGATCCTAGATTCATAGTATATATAGAGGCAAGAATGAAGCCTTCTTTATTCTTATCAATTCCTTTATTTTTTCTATTCTAGTTTTAAAAGTCTCTAATTTCCTTATCTTTTGGCAAGAATCATTCCAATTTCTTTTTTTAATATATATAATTTTTTATTTCTATTTTGTCATATTTCTTTGAAAGAGTCTTACTTATTTATTTTCTTTCATTGAATTCTTGTCATTGACAAATTGACAAGAGTACACTTACAATATCAAAGCTTTGTCTTTTATTGATTATGAGTGGATTATCCTTTTTTTTTTAATAAAACTTAAGCATATTAGGGATTGCAGATTATTTTCTTCTAAATTGATATTGTCTTTAGTATTTTTTCTTTGTTTTTAAGTCTTCTCTTTTATTTATCTTGAGCAATATTAGACATCTTTTCTTCTTAAAATATTATCATAATAAAGCTTCTTGAAATAAAGAATGCAATGGCATAAATGCAAGAACAATTGAGGGAATTAATGCTTAGAATACATCAACTCAATTTACTACTATAAGAAGCAACAAGAATTGCAAGGAGCAAAGATATAGAAATGATTGGAGTTGCTTCAATATTTTTATCAAATCATGTCTTTTCTCCTATAGTCGAACATCCTTATAGTCTTAAAAAACTAAAGATTACACTGTCCAAAAAGTTTGATAGTATAAAATCCAAATTTTGAAGATTTATTAATTAAGTATAACTTGTAATTGAATTTTGAATCCAAAGCTATCCAATTCTAAGATTGTAAGTTAGATTCATTAATACACTTCTTTCAAGTTTAATATTATTATAAATTTCATCTTATTTTGAATGACGAGATCCAATATTAGATAATCTAAAAGTTTTTTTTGAGGAGT